CCCTTCGGGACCTGAAAAGTCGTCCCTTGGGGCCCTCTTGGGCTGCTCTTTGTGCGCTTCTGGGCGCTCGTGGGCCCGTCTTGGACCTCTCCGGGGCCTGTTTTGGGGCTCTCTTGGGCCATCTTGGTGCCATCTTGAAGCCTCAAGAGCCCATTGGAAGCGTAAACGCGAGAAGGCCTACAACATTGTTTTCTTTAGGTGTTGGATTTTGGCCTCTCGGGGATGTCCTTGGGAGGTTCTGTGGAGCCTCGTGCAGGCTTGTTCGGAGCTGTCTTGAGTCATCGAGGGCTATATCGAGCGATCTTGGACGTCTTGGGCTGTCTTGGCGCCATCTTAGCCCAAACCAGACGCTCCAACGACCCTCCAGGCACAGGGGCAAGGGGGTGGAGGGGTCAAGCTACCCACCTGCCCGCAAGCCGTCTAGCTCACTCCCACCTGCCCTCCCAACTCATGAGTATCACCCGAAACTGAGCACGTTCAGCGGTCGTCTTTGGATGGGCAGCTACAGGGAACCAAAGCCGACCCCAGGTGCGCGACGCTTGGGCGTGGTGCGCCACGCGTGCCAGGGGCGTCACGCGCGCCCGGTACCCCCGGGGCCCCAGCGTGTCAGGCACGCTTGGTGCGCCAGATGCGCCACGTGCTCCGAGTGCGCCAGGCGTGCCGCACACTCCAGCCGCGCCAGGTGTTTCACGGTCGGGACACGTGCAGAGTGCGTCAGGTGCGCCTGCGCACGTGAGCACACATCGGGAACATGTCGGCCCTCGCCATCCTTGTCGAAAACCAATGCCCATCATTGTGTCTGGTGGGACTGCGCACAGCAGTCCACGCGCCACCAGCCCCCCCCGTCCATGTCAAGAACCAGGTGACAATGATTGCGGGATGGCCGCGCATGATCCAGATTTAGCCGCGAGGTGCATATTGTATTGTTTTGGTCAAGGATGGTAGTTCTGCGCGCAGCAGGGAATATGCTGACACCCCCGCCGTCCCTGTAACAAAAAACGAAGTGCTCGCGAGCCTCACGAACATGACTCAAGACTTTGCCCCAAAGTGTACTTTGCATTGTTACCTAACAGCGAAGACTGATAGGTTTCTGGTGGGCTCAAAAGAGAGCATCTTGACTCCCCAGGGGGGTCTGGGCGGGTGCCGGGAGAAGCCGGGGAACCCGGGGACTCCCCAGGACTCCTATAGATTCCTATAGTTTCCTATTGATTCCTGGGAATAGTGTTCCCAGAACACCATTCCCAGGCCACATTTTGAATGCCCGGAGCCAACTGTAGGCCACTTCGTGTTCTTCGTGTTTCCAGAACATTCTCAGGCCACATTTTGAATGCCCGGAGCCAACTGTAGGCCACTTCGTGATCTTCGCGTTCCCAGAACACCATTCCCAGACCACATTTTGAATGCCCAGAGCCAACTGCAGGCCACTTCGTGTTCTTCGTGCTCCCAGAGCACCATTCCTGTATCATATTTTGATTGCCCGGAGCCAACTGTGGGCCACTTCGTGATCTTCGTGTTCCCAGGACACCAGTCCTGTGCCATATTTTGAATGCCCGAGCTGAGGCAGGCTGAGGCCGAGGCAGGCTGAGGCCGAGGCAGGCTGAGGCTGAGGCTGAGGCACGCCGAGGCAGGCTGAGGCTGAGGCTGAGGCAGGCTGAGGCTGAGGCAGGCTGAGGCTGAGGCTGAGGCTGAGGCTGAGGCTGAGGCTGAGGCAGGCTGAGGCTGAGGCTGAGGCAGGCTGAGGCTGAGGCCGAGGCCGAGGCAGGCTGAGGCTGAGGCCGAGGCAAGCCGAGGCAGGCTGAGGCTGAGGCTGATGCTGAGGCAGGCTGAGGCTGAGACAGGCTGAGGCTGAGGCTGAGGCAGGCTGAGGCTGAGGCAGGCTGAGGCTGATGCCGAGGCAGGCTCAGGTAGGAATCCTTAGGATTCCCCAGGAATCCTTAGGAATCCATAGGAATCCCTAGGAATCAGGATTCCTAAGGATTCCTAAGGTTTCCTACTGATTCCTATGGATTCCTAAGGATGCCTAAGGATGCCTTAGGAATCCCTAGGAATCCTTAGGATTCCATTGGATCCTAAGGCCGTTGCCACTGCGACTGTCAATGCGAATGCGACTGCGACTGCGAGAACAGCAGAATTCTACAACTGGATTATCACCTGAATCTTAAGGGGGATGCTTCCAGATATGCTTGTACTCATCGCTGTTAGGTTACTTTGCCGGGATAATTTGTGTTGACAGGGATGGTGGGTGGGGGGACCGCATCGGGTTGGCCGCGCATGCTCCAAATGTGAAGGCTGAGTGCGCTTGGCAGTGTTTTTTGACAGGGATGGTGGGGGACGGGCCCCTCATGGAGTCGGCATGGTTCCGGATTGGACGCGGGCCGGGTGGGGGAGGGGTGTACATTAATTTAATACGGAACAGTGAGAACCCCCCCCCCGAAGGGGAAGAAGGGGATTGAACAGAACGGGCTCTTTAAAAAACTACCTCCGCCCAGAGGGTTGATGGGATTTCCGGTCGTGGGCGCACATGATCGGCAGTGGGTCGCACAGCTCGTCCAGTCTCTGGCCCCTCGTGCTCCCTCCGGTTCCCTCCTCGGTCTGCAATTTTCGGAGCGGGCGAAGTTGTGTCGTCAGCATCGGAGAGCCCACTTCACAGATAAGTTTGCCCTCTCTCCGCATGCGTTTCGGCACGCTGGCCCGAGTCACGATACTTGGCTTTTCCAGAGATGATGCTGACACGCTCCAGGCAAGTGGCAGATGGCTCAGCCCGTCGTCTGTGTTGCGATACTCGAAGCCAACTGGCATGCTTCGGAATCCTTCCAGCCTTTCTCGCCAGCAGCTGCAGCAGGCTAGATCTATTCCGCAGCGGCTCCTACAGCAGATCCTGGAACATTTTGGCCCTCCCCGCTGTCGCGCTGCTCGGCTCCCACCCTCGGTGGCCCGAACCAAACGGAAGTCTGTCAGTGTTGGCACGAGCAGGTAGGCTCTGGTCGAGCCTCCTGCCTTTTTTCTTCCGGGGAACCTCCCCCTCCAGGATCCTGCGTTGCCGTGGATCAAATCGTGGTCCCGTGTCTTCGTCTTTTATTCCTTGGGCTTGTGCCCACTGCCGCCCCCGTCCTCTCGTCGGGGTTTCAGCCGCTCCGCGGTGTGAAGGCGGTTTGGGGCCGGCGCGATAGTTGTAACATCGGTTGCTCCGTCAAATGCTTGCTCGAATGAAATTGAAGCGCGACGAAGCTGAATCATGAATGTGAAATCAGCCGTGCCCGAAGGCGGATTTAGCGCACGGATGTGGAATGGAGAGGGACGAGGGAGCAAGGCAGAGAGGGAGGGAGGGAGAAGGGGGCGAGGAATGGCGTGAGGAAGGGTTTGCAGGTGGGGGGAGGGAAGGTGGCGCATGCATTTTGTAGAAAGGTGTATTCAATAATTGTTGTTCATGCAGTTATTGGCTCGTTGCAGGAGGCGCGTCGAAGCTAGAACGTGGAGTGTAAAACGAGCAATGCGTGAAGGCGAAAGTACAGCAAACCCACGAACTCCAGAACAAACTTCCGTACTTCTACCGAACAACCCCCCAAACAGGAACCGAACAGACCCCGGGACTTCTACCCAACCCCCCCAGACTTTTACCGAACAAGCTCCCTGACTTATACCGAACAGTCCCCCGGACTTTTACTGGAGGAGGAGGAGGAGCAATGAATAATATGGTAATGATGATGATGCTGCTGCTGATGATGATGATGAGGAGGAGGAGGAGGAGGAGGGGGAGGAGGAGGACGAGGGAGAGCAGGAGCGGGAGGAGGAGGAGGTGGAGGAGGAGGAGGAAGGAGGAGGAGGAGATCGGGACCAGGATGCGGATGTCTCTTGCAGTCTGGAAAAAAACTCTTGGGCCCCTCTTGGGAGCTCTCGGTCTGTTTTGGGGCGTCTTTGAGCGCCCTGCGCAACAAAAAGGCGGTAATGCTAAACAGAAATTAAGATAGTTATTTGTGACGATTTGAGTTGTTTGGGCCGCCCTCCAGGGCTCCAGGGCCTCCAAGACGGCCCAGGAGGAGCCCAAGAGGGCTTCAGGACGGTCCTCGGGGCCATCTTTGGCCATGTTGGGCATGCATGTCCCGAGCAACGCGCTCTTGGCCTCTGAAACAAAGTCACTCGAACCACTCCCAACGGCGCCTAGGAGCGCCCAGAACTCCGGGTTGTGGGCCCCCCCTACCGCATTCAAGACAGAGTAGTCAAGGCGATTTGAGGGCACTTCAACTCGTGCCTCGGCACTGTGGCGGATACTGAGAGCTCTACGTAAGCAGGGTGCCGCTCCAGCGCGTAGGTTCTACAAGGGAGAACGCTCCAGAAGCTTCTACTGCAGACAGGTTCCAGCAACGCACGGCGTGCGCTCCAGCATCGAACCTTTCAAAGGGCAACGTTCCTCCACCTCCTTGTCCTCCTTCTTCTCCTCCTCCACCTTCTCGTCCCCCTTCTTCCTCTCGTCCTCCTCCTCCTCCTCCTCCTCCTCCTTCTCCTCTTCCTCCCCGTCCTCCGCGTCGCACACTTTCACAAGACGCGATCGTTGCAGCAGCTCGCGGCGCGCGCTCCAGCACGGCACTGTTTGCAGGGCGCGGGCGTTCCAGCAGCCCACGGGGCGCGCTCCCGCCCTGCATCGTTTGTTACCGAGCGCAGGCGTGCGAACCTCGGCCTCAACTAGCGCAGACGAGCCCACATAGCCAAACCTCTCATTCGCAAAATATTCAACTGATTCTAGTTTGACACATTGTCCGCTCCAAAGGCCGGGCACCTCGCCTTACGGCACAGACCAAAAGATTACCCTGGCCAGTGCCCGCCAGGATGAAGCGTGTTGTTTGCGCCCCCGCGTTTTCTAGCCCGCCCTGGCTACTGGTTCCCGATCGAGGCGCGCCGTACCCTTAAAAAAGGCCTTACTACCGTCAACTTGCAAAATAGGTGCTCTGGCAACAGTTCTTTGTAACGGATGCGGAGGCGGCCGTCTCACCTAAGTTGTCAAGCATGCATGTCCGCGTTGGCCTGGTTCCATCAGGCGTCGGCACATTGCACGCATCATTTCGCCGGCTCGGAACGTCCATAGCAACTTGGTCTCAAGGGGCCCTGGGGTCAAGCGTGACTTCGTTTGCACCTGCTTACTGCAGCACCGTTGCCTCTTCAGCGCTGCTCTTTTAGCGAGCGAGGCCAATGTCGCGTGGTCGCTCGCCGTCGCCTCAGGCGACGCTATCTGCGTCAAGCCGTGGAACGTCACCGGAGCCCTACTACGGGCCTGTCGACGCGCCCCCGCCGTTGCTGATCGACTTGTCCCCGCTGGCGCAGCAGTGGAAGGCCGCCCCCGTTCTGCCACAGGTGATGTACCAGTTGGTCAATGTGCGGACGATCGCGTGCGCCAAGTGCTCGGCCAGCGATCTGGCCGACCTCGACGTCGTGCACAAGCTCGCGGCGGCGCCAGAGCGCCAGAGATGGCTTAAGAAGGCAGCGCAGCTCTCCCTCGTGGCATTCATGACGCCCGCTGGCGGGAACAGAGAGCGCCTGAAGTCGGAGTTGGGTGGCTCCATGGCGCCTATGCCTGGCCTATCGACTCCAGGCTGCGCAGAAGACTGGCCGCGCAACTACGTGCTCACAGGGTCGGACGTAAACATATTCGTGCAGGGCGGATTAGACAGCGCCGTGAAGAAGATGCAGCTGAACGATAAGATAAACGGCCTCAAGCTCTTGCAGCGCAAGAGGCTGCAGAACCTCGACGTGTTGCAGTGTACCTTCTCGTGCAACAGTGTCGACGTCAAGCATGTGCCAGAGGTCCAGTCTGAAATCATAGTGGTCAGCACGGACGACGAGATGAAGTGCCTAAAAGGCCGACAGGAGGCATTCCGCAAGGTGTTTCGAGACCAACGGGTCCAATTGGAAGTATCGTTTGGCGACGCAGGCATGCTCGCTTTCGACGCCTACATCTACCTCCTGAAGGCCTTCGCCAAAACTATGCCAGAGGGTGCGCTGTCCTCCTTCCAGGCGGTGTCGTTTGGCCTGTTCGTGCTCCAGCTGGGGCTTTACAAGCATGTCCCTGGCACGGCCGCGCAGCCCACTGCACTACTCCTCTTCGAGTGTTTCCTCCGTTGGTGCGGCGTGTATTTCAGCAACCAGTGGAACAGCGACCAGAAATTGAAAAACCATAGATTCAGCGCCCTGGACCTGTCCACTGGCAGACTCATGTTGCGGACGAGGAGCCAGACTAAATGTGAGGCGTACTTCGTGGCGGACGAGGTGCACTCCTTGCACACGCATTCAGCGGACAGGCTGAACATCGCTGGGTCGATCAGCCCGAAGTTGGTTCACGACGCTGCACATCTAGCATTGGTGTCACATCTTAGCGTCGCAAATGGTGAGCTCGTGTGCAGATGACCTGTGCGCACAACTTTGTCTCTTATGCTTTCAGGCCTCTGGCTCTTTTCGAGGTGGCCTCCCACAACCCTGCAGCGGAAGTGCCCCTGGGAGTCAGGAGAGGTCCCCAGGAGCGCCATACTTAGGATCTACCAACGGCGCAAGAAATCTTGTGGCCAGCCGCATAGCGACGGGGCCCATATTGAAAATTTCTGGCCAGCCGCATGGCGGCGGGGCCCGCATCTCTGCTTTCAGGCCCCTTCGGGCAGACTCTACATTTGAGTTTGACGGTCTGCTACTATAAGAGCTACCGAACAGCCTTTCGTTATGACGCGTCAGTCTGGGCAAAACGCCGTCGTTGCTGTCGCCAGACGATGGGTCACACAGCCCCGAACGGACCCATTCTTGAATGCGCCCATGCCGTCCCAGCAGAACTCGCATGGACGAACCCACCTGGGGCGACGAAGTTTCGAAGCAACTGGCGTCAGGCGACAAGACCTAACGATTCGGATGCATGCTGGGTCTATCCCCCTTGTCGGCGCCATGCAGTTGCCATGCGATTGCCATGCGATTGCCACGCAGCTGCCATGCGATTGCCATGCAGTTTCCATGCTATTGTCATAATATTGCCATGCGATCGCCACGCAGTTGCCATGCGATTGCCATTTAGTTGCCATGCAGTTGCCATGCTAGTGCAAGTCAGTTGCCATGGTATTGCCATTCGATTGTCATGCAGTTGCCATGCTGTTGCCATGCGATTGCCATGCAGGTGCCGTGTGATTTCCATGCAGTTGCCATGCTACTGCCATGTTATTGCCATGCGATAGCCATGCAGTTGCTATGCGACTGCCATGTAGTGCACATGCAGTTGCCATGGTATTGCCATGCAGTTGCCATGATGTTGCAATGCTCTTGGCATGCTAGTGCCATGCCATTGCCATGCTGTTACAATGCGATTGCTGTGCGACTGACATGCAATTGCCATGTCGTTGCCATGCTATTGCCATGCAATCGCCATGCAGTGCTTGTGCAGTTACTATGCGAGTGCCATGCTATTGCCATGCAGTTGTCATGATATTGTCATGCAGTTGTCATGCTGCTGCCGTGCGGTTACCATGCTGTTGCCATGATTTTGCCATGCAGTTGTCATACTATTGTCATGCGAGTGTCATGCCGTTGCCACAGCTATTGCCATGCCATTGCCATGCGATTGCCATGCCTTTGGCATGCCATTGCCATGCAGTTGCCATGCTATTGCCATGCGATTGCCATGCAGTTGCCATGCAGTTGCCATGCAGACCCCATGCTGGCGCCATGCAATTGCCATGCTATTGCCATGCCATTGCCATGCGGTTGCCGTGCAGTTGCCATGCTATTGTCATGCGATTGCCATGCAGTTGCCATGTACAGTAGTTGCCATGCAATTGCCATGCGATTGCCATGCAGCTTCAATGGTATTGCCATGCAAGTGTCATGCAGGTTTCATGTTATTGTCATTCGATTGCCACGCTATTGACATGCGAATGCCATGCAGTCGCCATGCTGTTGCCATGCACTTGCCATGCTATGGCCATGCCATTGCCATCATATTGCAATGCAGTTGCCATGCTATTGCCATGCGGTTGCCATACTATTGCCATGCGATTGCCATGCTACTGTCATGTAGTTGTAATGCCATTGTCTTGCAGTTGCCATTGCAGTGCCATGCAGTTGTCATGCGATTGTCATGCTATTGCGATGCGATTGTCATCCTATTGTCATGCGATTGCCATGCAGTTATCAGGCGATTGCCATGCAGTTGCCATGCTATTGTCATGCGATTGCCATGCAGTTACCATGCGATTGCCATGCGATTGTCATGCAGTTGCCATGCAGATACCATGTTGTTGCCATGATATTTCCATGCAGGTGCGCCATGCTATAGCCATGCGATTGCCATGCACTTCCCATTGTATTGCCATGCTGCTGCCATGCTATTGTCATGCTATTGCCATGCGGCTGCCATGCAGTTACCATGCCATTGCCATGTGATTGTCATGCAATTACAGTGTTATTGCCATGCGATTGCCATGCGATTGCCATGCAGCCGCCATGCTATTGCCAGGCGATTGCCATGTTGTTGCCATGCGAGTGCCATGCAGTTGTCATGCTACTGCGATGCAGTTGCCAGGCAATTGCCATGCTATTGCCATGCGAGTGTCACGCAGTTACAAGGCGGGTGTAGCGCACGGGGGAGGGAGGACCAAGAGGGGTTAGAAGGTCCGCCGGCGGGTGTCATAGCAGATTTGGACCCCCCCCACGGGGCCCCCACAAGAAATGATTCCATCGTGTTATGCGCAATCAGAAAAAAAGGATCTGTGTGTGGGGGAGGAGGGGGAAGAGGACGAGGTGGAGGAGGGGGCGAACGGCGAGTGGTACGGGGGTAGGCAGAGCCGGGATGCGTGCCTCAGCCCCCTCTCCGCTTTTCGCCCCCTCGCTCCCACGCTCCCTGCTCCTCCTCGACGACCCTCCCTCTGGCCTTCGCTGGTTTTCCCTCCCCTTCTCGTTACTTATTTAATTATTATTTGTTTCATTTCTCTATCTCTCGCTCTGTATCTCTCTCTCTATCTCCATCTCTCTCTCTCTCTCTCCCTCTGTCTCTCTCCCCACCTCTGTACAGTAAATATATACACATACATACATCGATATGTACGCTACCCTTTCCTCAGGGACCTGCCTCCGTTACTTAATCCCAATCAAGGCTTGCCTCTGTGGGGTCCTAGCGGATTCACATGGGTAGGTTAGGGGGTGGCGCCGATTTCGGCGGCAGGCCCAGGTGCCCAGGTGCCCAGGTGCCCGCGTGCCCGGGTGCCTGGTACCCCTATAGCCCTATATCCTTGCAGCCTTATAGCCCTGTAGTCATGTAGCCCTATAGCCCTATAGCCCTAATAGCTCTATAACCCTACAGCCCAATAGCCCTGTAGCCCTATAGGCCTGTAGCCTCATAGCCTTATAGCCCTATAGCCCTGTAGCCCTATAGCCCTATAGCCCTATAGCCCTATAACCCTATAGCCCTATAGCCCTATAGCCCTATAGCCCCATAGCCTTATAGCCCTATGGCCCCATAGCCCTATAACCCAATCGCCCTATAGCCTTACAGCCCTATAGCCCATATAGCCCTATAGCCCTATAACCCTACAGCCTTACAGCCCTATAGCCCTATAGCCCTACAGCCCTATAGCCCTATAGCTTTGCATGCCTCTAACCCTACAGCCCTATAGCCCTGTAGCCTTAAGGTTCTATAGCCCTATCGATGTGCACGCTACCCTTCCCTGAGGGACCTGCTTCTTGCTTTTTTGATTCAGTCGCTCACGAATTGTAGTTCTCAGCTCTGCAACTTCATTCCGCGCCCGCGATGCATATGTAATGGCCTTCGGCCCATCCCGAAACCGTGCCTGGGTTGTGGGTATGAAGCCTATTGGACGTTCATTGGGATCTCGTGGCTTGGGCCGCTTGGGATCGTAGGAGCGCCGAAAAGGCGAGAACGCCCAAATCCTTCAAACACCGAAAGAAAATAAATGATGTGTGCCTCGGGAGGCTCTCTTGGTAGGCCTCTTGGAGGCCTCTTGGGGTGTCTGGGAGGCGTCTTGGGCCATCTTGAGGCCATCTTGGGTGTCTTCGGCCGATCTTTAGGCGTTTCGGGCCCCTCTTAGACCATCTTCTGGGGCCTCGCCCTCTTGGCCCGTCTTGGGGCCCTCTGGGGCCCGAGTAAGTCCTGCGACAACAGTTCCTGGAACCCCAGGGGCATGCGGGAAGCCCCAGGAGATTCTGGCAGGAGTGAGGATTGAGTATTAGAGGATTTGGCAAAGGACCTGAGAACACGCCCACTCCGTGCCCACAGGGTGGCGGATTACGTAAACACAAAATTGGACGCTGATATCCAAATCGGTTCGGTTAGATTCATATCGGATCCAAATTCGAAATCCACTCTGAAGGAGCAAGCCCCAGACTCAAAGGGTTACAGCTGGATTTCAATGACATTCAAATAGGAATTCTATACGCATGGAGCAGATTACACGTTTAGAGACTCTCGATTGGATGCGAATGGGATGCTCATAGAAATTCAACAGGAATGGAGCAGACACCACATTCAGATAAGTCCAGCTGGATTTCAATGATATTCAATTGGCATGCAACAAGAAGGGAGCATACTACACATTCAGACGATGTATACCATATTCCACATTTGGGGACACAGAACGCACCATTCACAGGGATCCTGAGGGCCAGGGCCAACACGCAATGGTTTTCCATGTTTCTAAATAGAAAAAACGCGGATGCACCCTTCAGAGGGCTCGCGGGGGCCAGGTTCAAAAGAACAGTTTTAATATAGGAAAACAACAGAAATCACCCCACACAGGGATCGTAGGTTTGGCTTTTTGTGTCAGGCCGAAAAGCACGATTTGTTGTCAAAGGTGTCAGAAAACAGAGCACACCCCTCACAGGGATCGTAAGGGTTAGGTTCCAAGAGCACAATGTTGCGGTATACGGAAAGCAGACGTTCGACATTCGGGCGACCCCCGGCATGGATATCGCTGGGGGTCAGGGCGAAGAAGCCATTTGTTCCAATGCACAAATTGGCGACGGGAGCCTAAACACAATAAAAATCACGTTACAAATCCCATGCCACCAAAGTATATGTCTTCATGCTGTGTCTTTTTGCTTTTTGGGGTAAGCATGTTTGTTTGCATTGTGGGGTCCCAGCGAATTTGCAACGCCCCCGTCAGCCCAGCCTGGCCAGCAAACTTTGTCGGGAGTCAACAAGGCAACAACAGCAACAACGACATGAAAGCACAGGTTTTGGTGAAACCAGTGGCAGCCCCTCACAGGGCTCGTAAGGGTGGGGCTCAAACCGACATATGTTTCTTATGTGTGAAACAAACGCACCCAGCACAGGTTTCGTAGGTGTCAAAGCAAAGAACACATGGGGTTTTAACTTACAGTCTTCACAGAGATCGTCAGGGTCAAGTCCCAAACGAATTATGTTTTCCAGGAAAAGACAGTGTTTGCATTCAGTGGTTCTTATGTCTGTTCTCAGGAACTGGGCCTGCCCGCTCGTCTGACGGCAATGTGGTCGCCGTCGCCGCCCCGTCGCCGCCCATGCCCCGTCGCTCTGTGTTTGCCCGTCGGTTTTGCGGTTGTGTGGTTGCCGTCGCCGTTTGGACCTGTGTTACGTTGCATTGGATTGCTTTGCGTTACCTTGAATTGTATGACACTGTTTTGCCTTAAGTTCTTTGTGTTGCGCTGCGTTGGGTTACAGTGATTTGCATTGCGTTGCTTTGTCTTGCTTTACACTGCTTTGCGTTGCACTGCTTTGCGTAACATTCTCCAACAGTTGCTCGCACTTAGGGTTTCGTGCATCTTGTCTGAGGAGCTGGGCCTGTGGGCCGCCCTGGCCGCCATGTGGCTGTCGCCGCCTTGTCGCCGCCTCGTCGCTGCCCGTCGCCGCCCGTCGCCTGAGCCTGCTTGCTGCTTGAGCGGCCATGTGGCCGCCGTCGCCGCCTCGTCTCCGCCCGTCGCCGCCTGTCGCCGTCGCCGCCCGTTGCCGCCCGTCGCCTGGGCCTGCGGGCCGCTCTGGCCGCCATGTGGCCGCCGTTGCCGCCTCGTCGCCGCCCGCCGCCTCGTTGCCGCCCGCTTTGCATTGCTTCGCTCTGATTTGCATTCCTTGGCATTGCTTTGCGTTGCTTTGCATTGCTCTGCATCGCTTTGCATTGCTTTGCGTTACTTCGCATTGGTTTGCGTCATTGTATTGCAATCGCAATTTCGTTGCATTGCTTGGCATTGATTTTGCCTTGCTTTGCATCGCTTTGCATTGGATTTCATTGCTTGTCCTTTCTTTGCGTTGCGTTGCCCTGCACTGCTTTGCGCTACTTTGCGCAAAGCTTTGCGTTACTTCGCATTGCACAGAATTTGTTACACACTGCTTGCTTGCCATTCGGGGTTCATGCTTCTCTTCTGCGAAACTGGGCCTGGTTATCGGTCTGGCCAGTTTGTGGCCGCCCGTGGCCGCCCGTCGCCGCCGTCCGTGTTTGATTGTGCGAGGTTCGCATTGTACATTGCCATGCATTGTTTTGCATTGCGTTGCTTTGCACTGCTTCGCGTTGCTTTTTCATTGCTTCGCATTGCTTTGCGCTGCTGTGCGTTGTTTCGCACAAGTTCGGCGGTCACCAAAAAGGCAAAACAGACAAATGACCAAGCGAAAGCACAGGTTTCCGTGACACCGTTTGCACATACATGTAGCACAATTGAAGCCGGCACGCAAGGACGGGGCACGCAGGGGAGGTGGTCGGGCATCCGACCAGGACGGGGGTCCCGCCTCGCAGACGCCAGACGGCAAGATGATCTGCTTCAGGTACAGCTACGAGATGGCCAAATGTGGGTCTGACGACTCCGTCCCCGCCCCCTCCCAGTTCCAGGGGGGGGCATGGGGAGGGGTAAACCCCTCCCCCGAGCAGGGGAAGGAGGGGTTGTGGCAGGGAACTCCGTTAGGCCACTCAACCCAGAAGACTGGTGGGATTTGAAAGCGCAGTCCTCGAGCAGTGGTCGGATCTGGCGTGAAACCAGTCATCGTAGAACCCGCAGTCGAAACATGTTTGTGGCTGACCACTCCCTGAGGAAAAGTCGCAGAAGACCAGCGCTAACAGGGGCCAGCAACGGGAGGGGGCACCACCACAATTTGTTGGCTAGTGCTAGAGAACTCGCACCTTCACGCTGGCAGTTCAAACTTGTAGCACACATCAGCAAAGCATGCGTTCGTTATCAGCGCTACTGCGCGTCAGCGTGCCGCGCAAACACAGTACCAGCAGCAACAACAACAACACCAGCAACAACAACAACAACCCACCAGTTCAAAGCAATAGTTACAGTGCCGCGTACACCTGCTGGAAAGAGAAACACAAGCCGGGGCCCATAAACCACTCCCGACAAGCGGCATGGCGAGAGTGTCTTAGGTGTCGCGCGCACCATCTATTTAAACAGACAAAAGAAAACGCATTCTGAGCATGATCCCTTCCGTTCTAGAACTCGTCATATGGATCAAATGTGACATACACGGGGGCAGCCTCATCCGAGAAAGTATTCTGTGGAACTGCAGGATCAGCTCATAATTCTCCTCCCTTTTCTTCTGCTGGTCATTAATCCTCCCTTCCCCCTGTTCCCTTCGTCCTCTCCGCCCGTCCTCCCTCCTTCCATCCATCTCTGAGGAGACACGCGCTCCCTCCCACGTCGATCCCTCCCTTCATCTGTTCTTTCTGCCCTACCTGAGCGGACGAACAATGGTATAGCATAGACTTTCCCTCCGTCGGGGGCACTTGTCCCAGGGCGGCGGACGAGTTTTCTTTCCACCGTTCTTCGTCCGCTATCCCTGCCTTGCTGCCCTCCCTTGCCGCGTGGCAGCCGGCGCGAAACGGGGTTCAGGCCTCGCTGGTCGGCCCGCGGCCGCTGGTCGAGCAGGGCCTGGTGCTGCCCGCCAGGCCCGAGCAGGGATTGGGGTGCGGGGGACTGCCGAGGAGCCGTCGGGCACAAGATGTTGTCGAGGCAGGCGCAGCTGTCGAGGTACGAGGGGGATGTGGTAGGGTGAGGAGGGAACCATAATGCTTACGATGATGATAGCGATAACGGTGAAGGTGGTTATGATGATGTTGTTGTTGCTGCAGGTTTGTAGGGCAGAACACTACGCAGTTTTGTTCGTTGTCACAAAAACGCGAACCTAGCAGCGTTTCTCCGTCCTCCCCCCCGCCGCGGGCACCGCGAATCGCCGCGCGGCCCGCGGGGGGGGGGGGGGCGGGGGGGGCAGTTGGGTAAGAGGTTGGAAGAGGGGGGCGCGTTCACGACCTCGTGTACTTCGTGTTCTGGGTCTTGGTCCCCTTCATGGCTTTCTCCCCGCGGTGGGGGGAGGGTAAACATACCCCCGCGCACAATGCGCGGCGCAGGGGCGCGCAACGGCCAATCGCGAGGCCGGCGCGCTCCGCCCGCGCGTCGGCGTGCCGCGGTAGCGGCGTTCTCCTTTCGCGGCCAAGAGTGCCTTTCGCGGCCAAGAGTGTCTAACGCGGCCTAGAGAGCCTAACGCGGCCTACAGTGCCAAACGCGGCCAAGAGTGCCAAACACGGCCAAGAGTGCCCAACGCGGCCTAGAATGCAAACGCGGCCACGAGTGCCTGACGCGGCCAAGAGTGCCTAACGCGGCCTAAAGTGTCAAACGCAGCCAAGAGTGCCAGACGCGGCCCATAGTGCCAAACGCGTCCAAGAGTGCCAAAAACGCAGCCAAGAGTGCCAAGCGCGGCCTAAAGTGCCGAACGCGGCCAGGAGTGCCAAGCGGGGCCAAGAGCGCCAAGCGCGGCTTTCGTGCCAAAGTGGGCCTAGAGTGCCCAACGCGGCCAAGAGTGCCTCTCGCGGCCAAGAGTGCCAAACGCGGCCAAGAGTGCCAAGCGCGGCCTGAAGTGCCAAACACGGCCAAGAGTGCCAAACACGGCCTAGAGCACCAAACGCGGCCAATGGTGCCAAACGCGGCCAAGGGTGGGCCTAGAGTGCCCAACTCGGCCAAGAGTGCCTAACGCGGCGAAGAGTGCCAAACGCGGCCAAGAGTGCCTTACGCGGCGAAGTGTGCTAAACGCAGTGAAACGTGCATAACGCGGCCGAGAGTGCCCAAACGCAGCCAGGGGCGCCAAAACGCAGCCAAGAGTGCTTAAGCTGGCCACGTTTGCCTAACGCGCGACTGGGTGAGGTGACCGCGTATAATTCGACATACTTAGATCGTGTCAAGCGACCGTGCGTCGACCGTTCGGCGTCTTCGTGACCTTGTCCAGGCGATCGTATCGACGCGACCAAACTAGGCGATCGCGGCTACGACTCCGCTCAATGTGAATGCGTCGTCGAGCTCAAGCGCACGGCAACGCGCGGCGCGGTTCCGCGCAAGCGCAGGCAGTTCCGCGGACAGAAGTCGCAGCGGGCGCGCGCCGTTGCGGCAAGTGCGGCACGTGGCACGTGGCAGGATGGCCGTTGAGACGCCCAACATGGGCATGTCTGTGCTCGAATTTCTGGCATCTCATGACGATGCCAAACGCGGCGGAGAGTGGATTGCGAGTTGCGCGCGCTTGCCAGGCGACACGTCCGCCCGCGGGCGCGGCGATGGCGCGCCTGCTCGTTTGCAGAGGAGAACGACCTGACGTCCGCGCGCGATTTGGCTTTCGCAGCCGCGGGGTCGCTGACGGGCGATCTGACTACAGGCAAGCGGTCCTTCCTCGCCAGGGTAATGTTCGACGCGAAGACCTCGCTCGAGGAGGAGCGACGCGCGTCGGGCTCGGCCTCCGCTGCCAGCGCGCCCCGCGGCGGGGCTGCGGCCGAACCTTGGACTCACGTCGACCTACAGGGGGCGTTGGAGAGCGGCCCCCTCAAGGACTTCAGCCAGCCTGTCTGGCCGCGTTCCGCGGCGGTGGAAGCATTAGACAATGGGGCGAAGAAACTGCTGCTCCGCGGCGTCAAGCGCCCGTTTGTTTATTCAGATTTAGATTATTGCCCATGTGGGCAGAGGTAAAAGGCGCGAAGGATGCAACAGAGGACGAGGGCGCCGCCCGCTCGGTCAAATCCAGATCGCTGACCCTCTCGCAATGGCATTCAGCGTTCGAGATGTGCGCGACAACTCGCTTGCGCCGCGCGCGCAACTGAGCGCGGCTTTCGCCCGCGCGCAGGTGCGCCATAGCCTGCGTCTGCACCAGTCAGATATCGTTGGCCGCGACGGTCAGTCACCGTCAGATTGCCCTCGAGGCCCGCGATTCGCCAAGAGCAAAAGAGGTCGCGCGACGCGTGTGTTCCGCGCGCGGCCCGCGCCAGGTGGCCGCGCAGGCGCCGCGGGCCAATCGGGGCGGCCAGCTGGCGCTCGTATATGGTGAGCTCCGCCGGCGCAACCGGGCTGAGTGGTCTATTGCGGGCGACGAATCGTTCAACATGGAGACAGCCGTCACTGCGGTGGATGCGACTTTGCTCCGGACAGCGGAAGCTGAGCACGACGGAGATGCGAGGGAGCGCGCGGCGTTCCGCGGGGGCAGAGGCGGCACAGGTGGCGCCGAAGGCGGCAAGGGCAACGGCAAGAGCGCAAAGGCCGCCAGCAAGGGCAAGGCCTCTGCCGCGCCCGGGGCGATCGCGGTGACTACGAAGCGCCGCGGGCTAAGGCGGCCAGATATCAGGAACGCTGACTTGACGCGCGGCGCCCAGGCGCCGCGCGTTCCGCGCGCGTGCGACGTCGGCCCCAATCTATTTAGCAGGCGTTGCTCAGAGCCCAGAGGTGGCATTTGAATGCCACGGGGGCAAGGCTGTCGGGCTAATCGCAGGCTTCCCTGCGGAGCTTGAAGCCCCCCGCGCGGCGCGTCCAAGCGATCGTCGCGCGCGCCGGCGCTGCGTTTCTAAAGGCTGCCAATTCGGGATGCGCGCTGCGCCGCTTGCGCCGGCAGCGCCGCCGGGAAGTTGCGCCCGCGCGGGCCCGCCCGCGACGGGCATGACTCGCGAACTTTTGAAAGGCGACGCCGCGGTCAAGCCGCGGCTCGAGGCGCGCGAGCGCCGCGGCCCGTCGCGCGGCAGGCAAGCTCGTCACGGGTGGCGAGAAGAAGATTGAATGCATTACCAATGCACTCAAAGATGGTTATCCTACCGCGCCTTCCCGGGGTATCGGGGAGGATGTGCGGAGCGCCATTGAATGGGAAGCGCCCTTGGGATGCGCTGAAGTAATGCGCCACCGAGACAACATGTTGTCGCTCCTGGAAGACTGGGGCCAAGCGCTCCGCTGGGACGGATCAGCGCAACGCAGGTTCGATGGTGCGGACGAAGCGACGAGAGCCATCTCCGACGGCGTCAACGGGCCGCTTTTGGCCGAGTTGCTCGACATAACGAGCTACGGCTACCCGGGCGCGGCTGACTTGTTTCGCAACGGCGCGCCTCTCCTCGGCGAGTTGCCCCGCGCGGGAAGCGGCCCCGCGAAGGCTTTCCCCGAGCCCATCTCCGCCGAGACCTTGCGGGCCTCGTCCGCAGCACACAACAGAGAGATTGTTTCGTCTCTAAGGGATGGTGCGAACTCCTCGGCGCTGCACGATGGCGCGCTTGCCGACGCAGCCATGTCACGGATGACGTCTCCAGTTCTCGTAGCTGATGCTGACCTGAGCAGGGTGCGCCTCTCGCCACGGTTTTCAATAATACGGGGCGTAAGAGAGGATGGGGCGCCAAAAATCCGCGTTGTGGACGACGAGTCCAGGGGCGGCGTCAACGCGGCGTGCCAGCCGGCGGAGCGACTGCAACTCGACGGCGCGGACGCATTCGTCGACGCGATGCGCTTCTTTCGCGATCGGCATGGATGCGCGCTGGCGCTGTTCAAGGCGGACAAATATTCCGCCTTTCGTCGAATCCCCATTGGATCTTGAGCACAGGTGGACCGCGCACAGCACCTACGTGCATGACGGGAACACCTGGGTCACGGGTCATTAAGCGATGATGTTTGGAGCGTTGGCCGCAGTATTCGGCTGGGGCCGCGCGGGCGCAGCCCTGGCTCATCTCGCCCGAAAGCTTTTACGAATCGCTACCCTCCGACGCGTGGGCGACTTCTTTGGCCCGTGCGCGCCTGAAGCAAAGGAGCACACCATGGCCTCTCTGGCCAGACTAGTGCGTGTGTTGCTGGGCCCAGGAGCAGCGTTTGACAGAAAGTTGGAGCGTGGCGACGCGCTGGGGATCTTAGGCTTGCATGTGTCGTTTTCTCTGACTGGCGTCCACTTGTTCCCGGCGCCGAAGGAGGTGCGCAAATGGGTGCTGTTGATCAGGCAGGCGCTCGACACCGAGAAGCTATGCGCTGTCCAGGCCAGCAAGTTGGCTGGCGCCCTCAGCTGGGCAGGGCAACGCTGCTTCGAAAGGCTAGGGCGTGCGATGCTCCAGCCTCTGTTCTCGCAACGGCATTCGCGGCGTGGCGAGGTCCGAGGACCGCTGGCTCTCGCGCTTTCATGGTGGGCGGACATGCTGGACCTCAGAGTGTACCGGGCCAAGCCGTGATTGCCGCCAGAACGGCAAGAGGCGCACCTTTTTGCAGAGGCCCGTGGAGGGTCAGATCCGAGGCTGGCCGCCGTTTTATTCATCGACGGCCTCGCCTTTTGGATTGGCGCCCCGCCAGACGACGGCTTGCTGGCGGATCTGGCACCGCGAAGCGACCCCCAGATCATGGCGTTCGAGTTGCTCGCCATAGCGCTAGGGCTGGCTACTTTCTGTGAAAGGTTGGCAAATCGTCGAGTTGCCATTTGGTCCGACAGCGTTGGGGCGGAGGCAGCGGCGCGCAGCGGCCGCGCCTCCGCTTGGGACCACTCGCGAATTATTCACGCGTTGGGGGGCCTCATCGCGCGCATCGGATGCGGGGCCTGGTTCGACCGAGCGCCGTCGGAAGAGAATGTCGCCGACCTCCCGTCGCGAGAGAAGTGCGAATTATTGCGTCTGCTAGGAGCGAACTT